TATCAAAAGGACACAACATCCACACATCAGCGTCCATAGGATATAATTCAATCTGCTTTATATAACAAACAATGAACAGCGACTTAAATAAAAACACAAGGCTACATTTTACTAATTTACAAGATGTGCCAAAATCAGGGCTGAAATAGAGATTTCTCCTCTAGCAAGTGTTTTAAATAGGAGGAAAAGTGTTTTAAATAGGGGCAGAGAAAGAGGAGAGAATCAGGCTGCAGCACCTCACTGAAAAGTGTTTTAAATAGGGGCAGAGAAACAGGAGAGAATCAGGCTGCAGCACCTCACTGAAAAGTGTTTTAAATAGGAGGAAAGTGTGCAGGGATGCTGAAATGTGTGTTCATGCAGCCCCTAAATAATGGTAATATTGATTAAAAATCATTTCTAGGGCAGAAAGTATTTTAAAAGTGAGAAAAACTATTTTAAATGGCTTAAAAAGCACCAAGTGATTTAAGTGCAGTTCCAAGATTCCCCACAGGAGGGCTCCAGGGAGCGCATCACCCGACATGAGCACAGTGCATTAACAGCAGAAAATAAGATTTAAAAAAGGCAAATCAATTGATTTAAAGTGCAGGGAGGCTCCGCACCAGACACAGGTACATTCCTACATCCCCACAATAGTGACACTGATGGTTTAAAGTCGTTTCTGTGGGGGAAATAGTGCTAAAAGTCTGATAACAGTGTGGTAAACGTCCGATTGTTTCAGAGACCCACAGTAATGATACAATAAACCATTTACATCTAAAAGTATTGATTAAAATTCATTTTTATGGGGAAAAGTGCAGATGAGGTATTTTTTGGTATTTTGGGCAAAACACTTCACCCAACCCTGTATATATATATATATATATATATATATATATATATATATATATATGCCGTTAAAAACTGCAATATATACCTGGCTGCTAAATCCTCAGAACTGTTACAGGATGTGTATTTTGTAAATTGTATAACTTTTTATTTTATTATATTTTTTTATCATATAACTTTTTTTTAACTTTAAATACTTTTTTTTGCATGTAACATATGTAACATTAAAGGTGGGGTAGGTACGTTTGAGAAACCGGCTCAAGATACACTTTTTGTTATATTCCATGGAATGCTCTTAACATCCCGATAGCAATGAATATCTTAAGTGCTTTGACAAAAAATCCATACAAAAATGTCATCTGTGGAAGCCGTGGTACTGTAAAAAGTACGACCAATCCAGTTAATCCGGCCCGGCTAAAATAACTGGATGGCCTACCTGCCTGTCAGCCTTCCATCTGTGCACAGACTTATCTCGTGCCCTCATTGGTCATGTGCGCGTTCGTGTGTGTTGGAGGAGGGGCTCTGTAAGGAAGTGGCAGATTTTTTCCGGCTGTGTATTTTCAAATTTTAGCGCACTCGAGCTGGTTTCTCCAAAATTACCTACCCCACCTTTAAAGGTTTTTATCTCGTGGGGCACGAGATAAGTCTGTGCACAGATGGAAGGCTGACAGGCAGGTAGGCCATCCAGTTATTTTAGCCGGGCCGGCTAAAATGATTGGTCGTGCTTTTTACAGTATTACTACAGATGACATTTTTGTATGGATTTTTTGTCAAAGCCAGTGGCGTCGCCTGGCCTGGGCATTCAGGGCTTTAGCCCCGAATGTTTTTTCTTTAGCCCCGGACAATTCTCCCTCCAATAATATAATACATTAACCGTGCTTTACGTGAACCTCATCATGACACAAGAGAGGACGGCAGGAGTGTAATTTCCCGTGTTCAGTGAATGCAACAGAGGCATGACACCAGACCAATCAGAGAGTTCCATGGAAATAAATGTGTGCTTGTGTCAGCTCGGCTCTGTGTGTGTGTGGTAATAGCGCATTTAGTGTGATAGAGAGAGAGGGAGAGAGGGAGACAGGGAGAGAGGGAGAGAGGGAGAGAGGGGGAGAGGGAGAGAGGGAGAGAGAGGGACTGGTGCCAGCCATGGATGTATAATAAGAACAGCAGGGACCGTGTTGTTAGCATCTGGTTAGCTAGCTGCGCTAACAGACATAAGGAGCTGTTTGTTCCACAACAAGCTGCTGGAGGAGAGTCCTCTCCTGACAGACTGAGAGACTCAGGTGAGCTAAAGGACTCTCTGAGTGTTTAGATAGTTAACTTTAGTCTAAGTTATCTCAGTGGGTCTCAAACGGTTTGGTCACAAATTATTCAAAAGATTATTTCCGCGGCACACCTTCATATGATCATTATAGTTATAAAAAAAATAAGAGAATAAAGGAAAAACAGTTATGAAATACTATATGGCAGTAAAACAAGAATAGAGTTTAAAAGGGGAGTGATTTGTAAAATATCCATAAAGAAAAAGTACATCTGTTTACAGTTCTGTTTCATTTGGGTGTTGAGAGAGGTATCCATAGATCTCTTCATTTTGCTCTCAAAGTGCACCAGATTGATGCTTTTAACTTCAATATTTAAAAAAAAATCTTCCCGGGGGAGCATCCCCCCGGACCCCCCTAGAGGAGGTGAGGTCCGCCCCCCCCAAAAAAATACCACTTTACCCCTGCCTATATGCTGTGAGCTGATTATCGAGCCTTCATTGTAACAGTCGCAGGTGTACTGTGTGTGCGTGTGGGGAATGTTGCAGTAAAAAATTCCACTGTAGCGCCGCGACCGCCACCACTGGGCTAAGCCCCGAATGTTTTCAGGTCCAGGCGACGCCCCTGGTCAAAGCACTTAAGATATTCATTGCTATCGGGATGTTAAGAGCATTCCATGGAATATAACAAAAAGTGTATCTCGAGCCGGTTTCTCAAACTTACCTACCCCACCTTTAAGCTGTCAGTGGCTCTTTCCTGCTGGAACAACGTACATGTCCCCTGTGTGGGACTAATAAAGGTTTTCTGATTCTGAACTACGATGCTCAACAGCTCGCTTAACGGAACTTTGACGCTGGTATCAGTTTGGTTTCCCACCAATCACGGGAGTATTGTGTATAGAAAGTGTTGAGTTATATTTCTCGCGCTACCTTACATCCATGAAGGCAACATGACAGAGGGAGGGCTGTCACTCAGGATGCCAAACTACTCTTTGGTAAGCCCCGCCCCCCCCCAAGCAACATCAGGGCCAAAAGTTTGAAAGCGAAAAAAACAAGATTTGAAACTGAAAAAATAATTGTTTGGAATCTGAAAACGGAAAATCTGCAACTGAAAAAAAGAAGGATTCAAATATCAAAATATGTATAAAAGGAGTGGAGCTGTCTTTTTATGAAAAGTAATTAAGCTCGCTCCGACTTCTTTCTCTTTTTTTTTATCGAAAAAAGCTAACTATTCAGTCAGACAGCAATTTATTATAAAAGTAAAACAAGTGCAATTTCAAGCACTTTAACCAAAATCCAAGCACTTTATCCAAAATCCAAGCACTTTTCAAACCTTGAAAACACCACATGAAATTTCAAGCATTTTCAAGGATTTCCAGCACCCGGACGAACCCTGAATATATGATATGTTTTATAATGATTGATCATGAAAGTGTTCTCAAAGCTGGTAAAGGTGCAGCTAGTTTGAATGACTTTGTATACTGCAGGGTAGCTTGTGGATTTACTCCAGGTGGAACTAAAGTCTGATTTAACACTTGATTATATTTCACATCATTCATCCAGATCTGTGAAGTAACTAAAGGTATTAAATACATGTAGTGGAGGAAAAGTACACCATTTACCTCTGAACTGTAGTGGAGTAGAAGTACACAGTAGCATAACATTGAAATACTCAAGTAAAGTACAAGTATCTCTAAACAATATTCAGTGGTACAACTAAATCTTGAGTGCAGGTGTTGACAGAACAAACAACAGTTTTAACATTTTATTAAAGCCAAATCATGATATACAGATATACCATTATTTTTTGTTTACAGTACAACAGATAACTTCTCTTCATGAGATTTACTGGAACTCGTCTGGAAAAACAAGCATCATGATTCTTAAATAAAAACTCCTCCTCCTCACAGTTAAACACGTGTTAACTTCTCGGCGCAGAGCTTCCAGTGCTTTAACAACAATGCATGAAGAAGCCGAAAGCCTGCTTTGCATGTGAATCTCCCCAAAAATATTGCTGTACTCTCAATCCTCAAAGTAATCTCGAGCAAAGAGCGGGTAAACATTTCAATGCATCGCCAACAACATACGTGGTTAGAAAAAAATGCATGATAAAATAATAGCCGCACATAATTGTCTGCTTCACCAAGTCAATCATCATAAAATAAACACCTCATTTGTAGTTTGATTTGCACGTCATTTCTCTCTATTGAAGAATGCATGTGTTATATAAAGCAGGAATGACATGTCCTATAGAGTGCCACAGTGACGCGTCCTAAAACCTGGTAAACTCCTAAAACCCGGTAAACTCCTAAAACCCGGTAAACTCCTAAAACCCGGTAAACTCCTTCCGGTTCCTTCGACAAAAAACAATTCAACTTCTCCATAGGATTTGGGAAAATATCTGGAAATCAGGTCTGTGGTTGAGACGCATTGAAGAGACGGATCACGTTTTGATCAGTCGGATAATCTCCACATGTCTACCCTACTTTTATAATTTTCGAATGATAAATCTAGTCGCCAGAAGCTAACGTTATGCTATATACGAACTACAGCAGGGTCGCTGCTTCAACGTCACGCCAACTTCAGATCCATATTCAAACTACAGATTCTAAATGGTACGAGTTGAAGCGTTTGTTTGAACAGTTAGCAGGAGGCAGGTTCTTGCTTTCAAGCAGAACAGGGCAAACTAACTTAGAGGAGTGTTTACGTGTTCGGTGTAATGACGTACAACGTCCTCCACAACTTCTGTAGTCCTATTCAGCCACTTGGTAACAACCATCGTTTTTCAGACACGTCAACTCTTCAGAAATCCCCAGTGGGGTCACTGCTGATGGATTTAATGTCCTAGAACAAAACGTGATCCGGTTCTTCAATGTGTCTCAAAACCACAGACCTTATTTCCAGATATCTTCCTAAATCCTATGGAGAAATTGAATTGCTTTTTGTCGAAGGAACCGGAAAAAATGCTAACTTACTTCCGGGTTTTAGGACGCGTCACTGTGGCACTCTATAGCATGAATTAAATCAGAGTTGTTCCTCATGTGTGTGGAATCACTCTGTGGTACAAAACAATACATCTCTACCTTTAGGTACATTCACCAGACGCAGTTGAGACGAAGCAGGTGTGAGGACAGAGAGAAAGTAGACGAGAGGCACTGACAGTCAGAAATAGGTTAAGGAACGATCATAAACATTTAGCAACCACCATTTTTTCATGTTAAAAGCAGCATTGACTCTAATCTGCTGAAGTCTTCACAGTCTCTTGATCTCACTGGGAATGAATGCAGTTCAAATGAATCATACTTGATGCTTCTCTGTAGGATAAACAATGACTTTTGGGACTGTTTGATTGGCGGCATCCATTATTCAGAGCTGTGACTTGTGTTTATGTCAATGGGAAAGGAGGAAAATGGCTTCATCCATGTCTTCTTCTTCTTCTGTGGTGGTGGTGGTGCTACTGACTCCCCTTCCCCGCACTGACCAGGTAGCCTTTAGCCTTGATGATTCCCCGGCTCTTCACGATGATGGAGTAGCGCAGAACCCACTCCAGCCTCCAGATGGCGGCGCTCAGATCCTGCGTTCCCTCCTGCACCGCCTCCTGGAAGGTGGCCGCTGACATGAGCTCTGAGGAAGCAAGAGGAGATGGAGCCGTTTAAAACTCACGGAAAAACAGGACAGAGAATTTAAAAAAGGTCAATCATGGACAAAGTGGCCCAAAGACCCTGATAGTGTGATGTAACCCTGCCTTTGTTAGCCCTACATGTATATGTATTTTTTCAATTTCAAGATTCAAGGCTTTTAATGTCATGTGTGCATTAGCTACAGTGTAGTTATGACCATGAACATCTTAGGTCACAGGGCAAGGCAAGGCAAGTTTATTTATATAGCACCTTTCAACACAAGGCAATTCAAAGTGCTTTACAAAAATGGAAGACATTAAGAAAATGGCATTTAATAACAGTCATTAAAAAGCTAAGATAATAAAAGAAACATTCAAAGTTACAGTGCAGTTTAAGATGTGAATAGTTCAATTAAAAGCAGCGGCAAAAAGAAAAGTCTTCAGCCTGGATTTAAAAGTAGTCAGAGTTGCAGCGGACCTGCAGGTTTCTGGGAGTTTGATCCAGATATTTGGAGCATAATAACTAAAAGCTGCTTCTCCATGTTTAGTTCTGACTCTGGGGACAGAAAGCTGACCAGTCCCTGAAGACCTGAGAGTTCTGGATGGTTCATAATTTAGCAGGAGATCAGAAATGTATTTAGGGCCTAAAACCATTCAGTGCTTTATAAACCAGCAGCAGTATTTTGAAATCTATTCTTTGACACACAGGAAGCCAGTGTAAAGACTTCAGAACAGGAGTGATGTGATCCACTTTCTTAGTGTTAGTGAGGACTCGAGCAGCAGCGTTCTGAATCAGCTGCAGCTTTCTAATAGATGTGTTAGTGAGACCTGTAAAGACACCATTGCAGTAGTCCAGTCTACTGAAGATAAAAGCATGGACAAGTGTTTCCAAATCCTGCTGTGACATTAGTCTTTTAATCCTAGATATGTTCTTTAGGTGATAGTAGGCTGATTTAGTAACTGTTTTAATGTGACTGTTGAAACTCAGGTCAGAGTCCATGACTACACCGAGATGTCCGTCTGGAAGCGAGAAGAGATGGAAAAAAAATCCAATTCATGTCCGTTTTCATCTAGAAAATGTCCCTTTAAACCAGGGGGGGTCAAACTCAATTTTATCGCGGGCCACATCAGCATCATGGTTGCACTCAAAGGGCTGGTTGTAACTTTAAGACTATATAAATATACATATATAAATATATAACATATATTAAATAATGTATTATATCACATTACTGGCTCTACATTGGATTATTATCAGTTCTGGTAAATAATAAATAAATCATAAATTCTTCATAAATAACTACGTCTGAAAGCAGAAGTCTAGGGCAAATAGTTGAAAGCAAATATTCAACAATTACACCAATTGTATTGTATATTATATTTTCTTTGCAACTCTTGCGGGCCACATACAATTGAGTTTGACACCCCTGCTTTAAACCCATCTGAAGAACTTGATTTGCACCTTTGGGGTCGTTGTGTGTGAGCAGCTGGATGTCGAACTCCTTAGCGAAGGCAGTGAGGTCTGGAGGCATCACACAGCAGGAGGCCAGGTTCACCTGGTTACTGCTGGGCTTCACCTGGAGCGGAGAGAAACACAGGCCTCAGGGTTTATCATGGGAAACATCACAGAGCGGCACATTGGACAAAGCTTATCGTGCAAAAACACATTCCTAACTGCTTTTGGGTCACGGTCACACCACCTGATTAAATAGCTGAACAGACAATGATCTGGCTTGTTTGAATTTCTGGCAAATCAAATATTTAAGTGTTGGCCGAACGAGATTTTAAACCACATCAATAAGGCGTTGCTGTGATTTATGTGCAGTCTTAAAGAGCGGCTATACGTTTAACCAGCAGAAGTCACTGTGTTCCCTTCTTTGGAGCCCAAAGCTTCTATTTGTACGGGACAAATACCAAGTCAGCACCAAACTTTAATAAGGGTTTGATTAGCCCACCACTAAACATCACTGTAGTATTTTATATGTTGTGTGTCTGTGATTTAGAATGAGAAAGTTGTGATATTATACTTAACTTACATATTCCATACATGCAGATAATATTTATTTTCTTCTTACAATATTAATGCACAAAGAATCCCTTGTTGGGAAAACGGACGTCTTGTTTAACCGTTAAGCCCTGAGCCTGTTTTTCAGGTCTCAGGCTCGAAAATGACATTCCCAGAACAAATGACTATATCTTCACTTCTAAAAAGGGGTAAATTAATAATCTTTTTTCTCAAAGCAATGATAAACCTGTGAGTTGGAAGTAGAAAAGTCAGAATCAATATAGAATTTTTAAATTTTAAAGTAAATTCAGATTGAACATAGTAAAAATATGTAAATGATAGTGTCCGTCCAAAATGTCTCCCGTGTTTCCTCCGTAATGCTACGTGTTGTGATGTCTGGTTTTGTTTCCCGTGTCGCGAGTTCTGATTGCACAGTGATGATACTTATACCAAAAGAATCTGTGGAATCTCAGCTTGCTAATCGATATCTTGTTTGTGCAGATCCGATAAGTAATAATGGTATTTTAGCATGAGTTCTGTGCTAAGTGTGTTAGCATTTTTTCGCTCAGGGCTCATTTAGACGCTTCTTGTGAGACTTATGCTTTGTTTCGGTACAAATGGTTCGTATCCTCAGTTAGCTGAGTTTCTTTCCGTTAAGTGGGTATGACACATTCATAGGTTTTTAAATGTTAAGAAGCCCTGAGACACAGTTTCGTGAAAAAAAAACGGGGGCTCTCGGGCTAAACAGGTTAAATAAACTTAATTGGAACAGTCCATGGACATAACGATAAAGCTCTCCTCGTGTCCGCCCCGTGTCACGGACGGTCAGATAAGTGTTCATTTGATTGATTGAAATAGACACAACTCTCCGGCTTTAGTTGTTCAGAAAGCTTGATTAAAGCTGATACACACTTAGGTTGAGAGACTCACCTGAGCCCAGGTGTAGAGCTGCTCCAGCAGGTCTTTGTCCAGGTCCGAGGTGCCGATGGCAGCGATCCTCTGGCTCCGGACCAGAGACTCCAGCTCCTCCCAGGCCGGCTGCAGGTGGGCCAAGCTCTGGTTCTCCCCCTCAGCCAGGGGCCACGTCGGGGCGATGATGACGGAGTCCAGCTGCGACACCGCCAGCGTCTGACAGGCTGAGCAACAGAGAAGTACACACATCTTTACTCAAGTAGAAGTACACACATCCTTTACTCATGTACAAGTACACACATCCTTTACTCAAGTAGAAGTACAGATACTCGTGTTTGAAAATACTCTGGTAAAAGTAGAAGTACTGACTAAACTTCTTTACTCAAGTAAAAGTAAAGAGGGCTTTGAAATGTACTTCAGTAAAAAGTACCCATAACTAGCAGCTGTTTTAAAGAGTACCTGACCTCCCTTTATATTAATAGAACAATAATGTCATTGTTAGCTAATGAATGTTTCCATGCTGAACAACGGCAACATGACAACGTTTTCATTGGTCCCTCTTCTTTAGAGAAGACCAGGAAATGATGGATACACGGATCGTGTTCAAATCAATAGGCACGCAATGACTCTAAATAATAATGATCACGCCACCAAACACACATTCAAACTAAAGGAACCAGCCTGTTTGGAAAATGTAAGAAGTAGAAAGTACAGGTATTTGTGTTCAACATGTAAGAAGTAGAAAGTACAGGTATTTGTGTTCAACATGTAAGAAGTAGAAAGTACAGGTATTTGTGTTCAACATGTAAGAAGTAGAAAGTACAGGTATTTGTGTTCAACATGTAAGAAGTAGAAAGTACAGGTATTTGTGTTCAAAATGTAAGAAGTAGAAAGTACAGGTATTTGGGTTCAAAATGTAAGAAGTCAAAGTAAAAAGTCGTCAGAAAAATAAGTAGTGGAGTAAAGTACTGATACCAGAAACATGTACTTTACGAAGTATTTGCACTCCACTACTTCCCACCTCTGTTGAGCAAGAACAGAGGGGATTATGGGATGCTGCAATGATCTGTTTGGTGTTTCAGCCAATCAGAGACAGGCTCTGTATATATCTGAGACCTGTAATATATTGATGAAAAACAGTATAATAGGGGACCTTTAAGGCATGTTAAAGTTTAGCTGCAAAGATCTGAAGCTCACCCATCTCCACGGCGTCTCTGATGGAGGATTCACCCGCCTCGCACAGGAACAGCTTCACTGTGAAAACAAGCAGATGTAAAGAGATGTCCCACACATCACTGGTATTACTTAAAGATAAGAAAAGTTATTTGGAACAAATTGGTTGAAGCAGGGAATTTGAAAGATGTTTCCACAGTAGCCTGGTGACTCCTGTGCTGACATGCAGCTGGTCAACAGTCACATTCAAATTAGATATTGAGTTCTGTACTGACCTGAGACCCTCAGCTCCTCCCTCTCTTCGGGGGGGATGGCGTCTGTCGGCTGCGGGATGGAGCAGTCCAGCGTGTCGGGGAAGTCCTTCAGGAAAAGGAAAGCACTTCATTTAGGGTAAACATCTTTGGGACCATTATTCAAGGCAAGGCAAGTTTATTTATAGAGCACTTTTCAACACAAGGCAATTCAAAGTGCTTTACAAAGGGTATATGCAGGAATCTTGAAGTCACATGTAATACCTTTTAAGACCCTTTTTTAAGACCCTTTCCATACATTTTAAGACCTCATCTCCACTTGGAGTTTTAACCGGTTACATAGGCGACACACTTTACCTCACATTGACTATATACAGTATTGATTGTCCTTCCTTCTTATCTTCCAACCATTTGGACGCAGACTTGCATTTCCCCATAACCATGTTGTTTAACAACCGGCGTAAACGGACCTTCGCGCGCTATCAAGCAGTGAGCGTGTGATGTCCTGTTCAGATGACGTCAAATCCAACGGGATGCCATAAATAAACTACACAGAATCACACTACACACCTACGCAATGATTACATTCAGGCAGACTGTAGAATACAACCTCTTTGGACCATTTATATACTTATTGGAAACAAGCTACAAAATGTAATACCTTGGAAAATGCCCTTTAATACTTTTTAATAGCCTTAATTTTCGCTAAATTGATTTATCAACTTTTAATACTTTTTAAGACCCCGCAGACACCCTGTATAAAAATGAAAGACATTAAGAACATTAAAAAGCAAAGATAATAAAACATGAATAACACAGGTACATGAATACAAGTTCAGTGTAAGATGTGAATAGTTCAGCATTCATATCTTATAAATACCAATACACAACTGTATATATTGTAATGTAGATTTTGTGAATCGTAGTACACATTGTCAATCACTTCTTATGCCTATATACATATTATAAGTTTTTGATATTGTGAATGACATGTAGTATGTAAAGCGCTTTGAGGGTGTCACTACCCGATCCACATCCCTACCCGATCTGCATTGCACATGTGCGAGATGGTCCGTATTTGACAACTACATACGGCAACTCAAATAGGACACTTGACACAGTGGCGTTTGGCAAAGCAGAAAAAGAACACTCAAAAAACCCGACAATATTAATCTGAACGAGAGATGAGTTATTGTTATTACAACGTGACTTCACTATTATTTAACAACTCCTTTTATTGGGTCCTTTTATTGGGTCATTTTATTGGGTCATTTTATTGGGTCCTTTTATTGGGTCCTTTTATTGGGTTAAGTACATTGTCAGAATAAGTGAGAAATGGATTTAACTTCTGTTAGACAGCTATCCTGAAGAAATATTGACTGTGAATGTATGCAATATGCAATATGTATGGCATTCATCATTTATAACTAATTACATTAACTGTGAATGTCCTTCATTTTATTTCAAATTAAATAACAAAAGATTTTTGTATAGATATTTGAGACGTTTATGACTCGCGCATGCCCGAGGCAAATCGGGCAGCCGTCTAGACGTCAAATGTCCTATTTGAGTTGCCGTATGGAGTTGTCCAATATGGCGGACCATCTCGCACATGCGCAATGCGGATCGGGTAGTGACAGAGGGGTCTTAAACAGAGTTGGGTGTAACACGTTACTGTAATAATATTACTTTTGTCGGTAACGGAGTAGTGTAACGCGTTACTTTTATAATTCAGTAATCACACTACAGTTACTAACATTGCCCCGACACGCGTTACTTCGTTACTTTTATAAAATCAGTCATAATCACACTGACAGACAAGAGGGGTTTCCGCCGCAGGTTTATATGTACGTAATCTGCGCGACTTGCGCATCCACATCTCCACGTGCAGTGCTGCATAAACATGGCAGAGTCAGCGATATCTTTCGAGGGGTGGAGGTATGCCCATTATTTTGAGTTCGTCCGAAGAATAGACAGGAACGTGACGGTGAGGTGCAAACTGTGTCCAGGCCAGAAGCTGTTATCCACTGCTGCAAACACCACGGCAAACCTCAACAAACACCTGCAAAGAACACATGCTAAGCTGTCTTGCAAGCTTGTTGTGGTAGGCTGGTAGCCTATTTTATTAAAGAGCATATAAAAAGAAAGACTTGTGTTATGTCTTCCTTATTGCAATAGTAATTGGGGGTGCAAGTGGAGTCTCGCAGAGGCAAAACTGTGGCGCGCCGCAGTCTGCGTGATCTGCCTGTAGGGAGGGGCGGGCCGGCCCTGCGAGTAAAGTAACGACTAAAGTAACGAGTTACTTTATGTAGAGAGTAACGAAGTAGTGTAATATATTACTTTTTTTTTAAAGTAATATGTAATATATTACTGTTATTTAGTAACGACCCCATCTCTGTATACAGGTTACATTAAATAACTATTAAAGGTTCACATCCTTTGTTAGATTACTCT